TGCTCCTCTCGTCGAAGCTGCAGGCGCTGCGCATCCGAGACTTGTTTGTTACCCGCCACCGTTTCTGGGGCCGAATAAGTTTACACCACCCCCCCCCCCCAAAACAAGAGCGAGGTGGAACAAGACTAGAGGCTTGCAGGGGGGGGGTGTATGCCGTTCCTGTCCGTTTCTGGGACATGATTGCCCAAGAGCGGAGCTCAAGCTGAGCAGGTGGCCTCCGAATGCTTCACCAGGCCCTTGCTTACACAACAGGCCCACCGCCTCTTGGGTGTCTTAAGCTAGGCCCTTTTCGTGTCATGGCACCCCATGGCCCCCCCCCCGTTGCAGTTGAGGGCGCTGAGCGCGCGGCGCTTTACCGCTGACCATTTCCGGCGGTCACGCGATACCTCTTGAAGTTTTAGTGGCAAGCCCGTTTTGTGAACTCAGGAAGTCAGATGAGCTCTTGACACACAAAACCAAAGACAGTCACTTTAGCACGAGCCCTCGCAGTGTGTTTTCTCCTATGTTTTGTTTTTTCCCATTTTTAGCGAGGTGTCAGATTGCTTTTCCCTTTTTACCCCCCTGCCCCCCCCTTGCACCCCTTCCCTTTCACCCCAACTCCCCTCTTCAAGCCACCCCCTCCCCCCCCTGTTTACCCCCTTCAACCCCCACCCCCTCCCCCCCCCTTTGGCCCCCCCCTCCTCCACTGAGCCCTGGGCGCGCGCACCCCCTGAGCTCAGGGCGTCTCGGAGACACTGAGCGCCCAGCCGCCGGAGGTGCTCAAGGCCATGGTGCAGTGGCCCCTCGCCTCGCCAGATTTCCTGCCGGATCCGCCGCCTTTTTGGTTTCGGTTTCGGGGGGAAGGGAGGGCGAGCGAGCGAGAGAGGTTTCTTCTGTATTCTTTTTTTTTGTTTTTTTGGGGGGGGGGTTGGACAAATTCCCAGAAAGGGTTCAAGAGGGTTCGTGGGGAAACGACACGCCTCCCCGAAGTGTTTTTTTTTTGGTTGGTGGGAATTTGATCCTTCCATTTACTAAAACTAATGTGTGTTATTTTCCCTGGTGGTGTTAAAGGGAATCTATCACTACTGGACATATTCTTATTTTTGCCAGGGGGCGTAGGCAAATGGACGTGTTTTTTCTCGCAGGTTGTATTCTTCAGCTGGGTTTCAAGAGGGTTCCTGGGGTCTTGTGGGGGTTTGTGGGGCCTTGTTTTTGGGCAAAGTGTGACATGTTGCCCTACAGTGAACCCACCTTTGTGTGTGTGTGTGTGTGTGTGTGTCACAGTGTGTTTGAGGGGACCGAATCCGTTTTTTGAGACAGACCTGGACGTCTCCATGACCCTTAACAAAACGAGGCAAGGGGTCACCCTATTTTTGTCAAAAGTGCACATTTATATAAAGCTATCAGGTTCCTTGTTGCTGGTTTCCTTCCATTGGCTGAGGAAGTTAAAAACCTCAAAAAAGTGCAAGAGAAACGCAACACCTAGTTTTCCCAGTTTTCAGAGCCATGGAAAACACATTTATCCTTTCTTAAGGCGACGGCTTGGGTGGAATTCATCCCAGGCTGCTGTGCACCTGTTCCCGGAGCTCTGCGAGCCTGGAGGACGGTGACGCAAAAGAGAGCAGCAGCCGGAACCGGCCAGGCGCTTACTGGCTCCTGGCTCGAGGCTTCTCGGGGCGGTCCTTGGGGGGAGCCCGGGAAAAGGGGGGGGGGGTGTGGGTTGTGTTCCATTTGCTGAAAAGAGCGGTTTAGTAGGGATTTCCATGTAACCCACTATATAAAGGTTAATTTTTTTTTCAGGGGATCTGAGGGCAGCCCAGGAGTATGTTCTTTCGCCCCCTTTTTTGGTTTTGAGACTGGGAATCAGGTTCACTCCCGGGCCCATTTTTCTCCGATTCTTTCCGGGGGGGGAGGCCTGGAGCATGGGATTTGCGATTGGTCTGGAGCTGTTGGACTTGTTCGAGGCAAAGTCTTGATTTTCTCAGTTGGCTGCCCCACTAAAATGGTCTTCCCAAAAAAGGGTTCCCTTTTTTTTCCAGGGTCACTGAACAACTTGAGTTTTCCGTGCCAACAGAATCCGTTTTTTTCTTGATGGCAGGGGGTTGCTTGCCATCAAGCAGCCTCAGTCATGGAAGTGGCCACTTTTGGAGAGGGGGGGGTGCTGCTTTTTCTGTCTTTCCGGCCCATTTTTGTGGGCTTGGAGATTGGGGGGAGGGGAGCCGATGATGGGCAATTGTATCAAATTGGGACCTCAGCCCCGAATGCCACCAAATGCCACCAAATTAACTTATTTATTTGTTCAAGTGCCCACAAAGGTTTACCCTTTTGTTTCCAGGAATTTGGCAGAGGAGGAGGTGGAAGACTGCAGTAGTGTTCCGGGTGGCGTGCCCCATCAAATCCAACCAAACCAAACTACGAGTTGAAAATCACCTGAGTGGGGGCTGCGAGGCAGAAACCTGGCCCTGTTTCAGGGCTCCAAACAGAAGAGCGGTAAACTAGGAACAAAAACAAGAAGAGCATGACAAATGCGAATAATGATTAATAGCACCAATATAACCATATAGTAAATATTATATAGTAAACATAGCAAACATAATAATCATAGTACTGCAGAAGGAATAAACAACAACAAAGGATGAAGAAACCTGGGGAAACTGATGGACCGCCGGACGACTAGGACCATCTTGCACCGAATTGGACTGCCAAGGCCGAAGTTTACGGGCATCCACCGGGACAAAGCAGGCGCCGGCTTGGCCTCGGGCCGGCTTTGGGGCCGGCTTTGGGACTTGGCAGTCTTGGGCTCCGATGTGGGAATTATTCGACTCGATGGGGACGGGAGTGATTCTCACTTGCCCAAAGCCGACCTTTTGACCTTTTGGTTTTCCAATTTTGGTCCATTTTGAAAAGGTCCCAAAGGGTTCTCCTTTGATTTCCTGGTCTTTTGGGCAAGTGAGGATTGTGCTGGCGAAATAGAATGATCGAAGCCCAAGGGGGGTTGAGAGCTGTGCGTGGGCCTGGGTCCGATCTGATCGGAGCGAGCCCCAGCCAAGCCTTGAAGCGAGGACTGTTCGGTCGGCCAGGCTAGACCAGCTGGTAGGACATCAGGGCGCATTGCTGGGGGATTTGTACGCGGCGATCAAGAAAAAACCAAAGGGCAAGGTAAACTCCGAGCTAGGGAAAAGGCTCAGCCATGGATGGTTGCGAAGTCGGAATGAATTGGCTTTCTGAACATAGCAATGCCGTCAACCATGATTCAAAGTGGTGGGAATGGATTTCGCAAGCATCAGTAGGGAGAGCCTGCGGGAATGAGTTGGAATGACCCCTTTTTGGATCCATCCATCCCATTATGGTTCCTCTATTCGGGAATGCCTGAACCAGTTCTCATTCCGAACACCCGGAATGACTCAGAAATGCATTCCCAAGCTATTCGCGCCTGCGAGAAGATTGGAGTGGCCAGGTCACGGCTACTCCGCCTATATGTACTTTGAGAAGCTGAAAGCCCGTGACTCCGCAGCAGGAAGGGGAGAGCAGATGTTGACATGTCCCAAGGGTTCTATTGACAGGAGAACTCGAGCAAAACAAGCAAAGGAATTGACAGGCAGCATGATATGGATGGCGCAGGGGACGTGATGGTATTGAACACATTGACCATGCATGAGCTTCAAATGGCGGTTGATATGTGACAATTGACCATCACAGTCGCGCAGCTTGGTTCGGCAGCAGCCGGCAGCCCTTCCTATCCCTGGCAGAAGTGCCACAGATTTTGGCCATGGCTTTAAGCCTCAGAAGGCTCGCGGTCGCCGCGTCCACCGCGGCAGCAGCTGCGAATGTGTTCAGCGTGCCGCTTTCCAAGCGGGAGCTGAGCTTTGAGGAGACCGTGGAGGCTGTGAACAAGGGCACGCAGAAGTGGGAGGCGCGCTTGGGCAAGGACGACCCGGTGGTCATCGATGACTACATGAACGCCCAGTACTATGGCGAGATCGGTGTGGGCACGCCGGCCCAGAAGGAGATGGTGATCTTTGACACTGGCTCTTCCAATTTGTGGGTGCCGAACACGCGGCCCTTCCTGACGAGCCACAACATCTATGATCACTCCAAGTCGTCCACCTACAAGAAGAATGGCACCACCTTCGCCATCCAATACGGCTCCGGGCCGGTGTCCGGCGTGTTCTCCGCAGACACCGTGACCATCGGCGACCTGCAGCTGAAAGACTACACTTTCGCAGAGGTGGACAAGACTTCTGGTCTGGGCCTGGGCTACCGGCTGGGCAAGTTCGACGGCATTCTGGGCCTGGGTTGGGACTCCATCTCGGTGGGTGGCGTGCCTACGCCCATGAACGCCTTGGTCAAGTCCGGCCAGCTGCCGGAACCCGTGTTTGCCTTCTACCTGGGCAACAACCAGCCAGGCGAGCTGGTCTTTGGCGGCGTCGACCCCAAGCACTACACGGGCGACTTCTCCTTCGTGCCTCTCAGCTCGGAGTCTTACTGGGAGATCAAGTTGGATGGAGTCAAGCTGGGGTCTGACTCCGTTTCCAGCACCAAGAGCGCCATTGTGGACTCTGGCACCTCGCTGTTGGCGGGCCCCAAGTCGGAGATCGCGGCCATTGCGACCAAGCTGGGGGCGAAGTCCATCCTGGGCAAGGACGGGTGAGCGCGGCCGTGAAAGGTTGATGCACTTTGGCCCTCTTTCAAGTCTCAAACGACATGTGAATGACGTGAACATGTTGATTGGGAGGTACGGCGGAGCTGAGCCGTCGCCATAATTCGATCATTAGCTGTCAACATTCGGGCGTTGAGGCCAACCATGTTGTCCGGCTGGAGCTAATTGCCATTCACAGGAGTACGTGGTGGACTGCAGTGCCAAGCTGCCTGATCTCACCTTCACCCTGGGCGGCAAGGACTTTACCCTGAAGCAGGCAGATTTGATCCTACAGGCGTCGGGGTCCCAGTGCATTCTGGCACTCACGGGCTTGGACGTGCCGCCGCCCCGTGGTCCTCTGTGGATCCTGGGCGACGTGTTCATGCGCAAGTACTACGTGCAGTTTGACTGGGGTCAGAAGCGTCTTGGCTTTGCAACTGCCACCCAGGCTGTGCAGATGCCGGCGGCCCCTGTGCACGTGCCACTTTCCAAGCGGGAGCTGAGCTTTGAGGAGACCGTGGAGGCTGTGAACAAGGGCATGCAGAAGTGGGAGGCGCGCTTGGGCAAGGACGACCCGGTGGTCATCGATGACTACATGAACGCCCAGTACTATGGCGAGATCGGTGTGGGCACGCCGGCCCAGAAGGAGATGGTGATCTTTGACACTGGCTCTTCCAATTTGTGGGTGCCGAACACGCGGCCCTTCCTGACGAGCCACAACATCTATGATCATTCCAAGTCGTCCACCTACAAGAAGAATGGCACCACCTTCGCCATCCAATATGGCTCCGGGCCGGTGTCCGGCGTGTTCTCCGCAGACACCGTGACCATCGGCGACCTGCAGCTGAAGGACTACACTTTCGCAGAGGTGGACAAGACTTCTGGTCTGGGCCTGGGCTACCGGCTGGGCAAGTTCGACGGCATTCTGGGCCTGGGTTGGGACTCCATCTCGGTGGGTGGCGTGCCTACGCCCATGAACGCCTTGGTCAAGTCCGGCCAGCTGCCGGAACCCGTGTTTGCCTTCTACCTGGGCAACAACCAGCCAGGCGAGCTGGTCTTTGGCGGCGTCGACCCCAAGCACTACACGGGCGACTTCTCCTTCGTGCCTCTCAGCTCGGAGTCTTACTGGGAGATCAAGTTGGATGGAGTCAAGCTGGGGTCTGACTCCGTTTCCAGCACCAAGAGCGCCATTGTGGACTCTGGCACCTCTCTTTTGGCGGGCCCCAAGTCGGAGATCGCGGCCATTGCGACCAAGCTGGGGGCGAAGTCCATCCTGGGCAAGGACGGGTGAACGCGAATGGTTGATGCACGCTGACTTTCGATCATGGTCACAGGGATTCAACTAGGAGTGTCATCGAACCATTTGGCGCATGTGCCATTGCTTTAGGCATTGTTGCCACACAGCTTTGCTAGCCAGTCTTCAACAGTGTTGGGGAATGTAGTTTGGTTTGTTCCAACATGGTTATGGATGTTGAGCCAGTTTTGGTGTTGGGCGCATGCATAACTGCCCCCGAACAAACAAGACCATTAATCAAAATCGAGAGTGATTCATTCTTCGAGTTGTTGAAACCCAGCAAAGTGTTGAGAGATGTTGACCTGGACCTCAGAGTGCTGCATGCTGCGTTTACAGTTTCAATATGTCAGTCCGGCGTGGTGCAGGAGTACGTGGTGGACTGCAGTGCCAAGCTGCCTGATCTCACCTTCACCCTGGGCGGCAAGGACTTTACCCTGAAGCAGGCAGATTTGATCCTACAGGCGTCGGGGTCCCAGTGCATTCTGGCACTCACGGGCTTGGACGTGCCGCCGCCCCGCGGTCCTTTGTGGATCCTGGGCGACGTTTTCATGCGCAAGTACTACGTGCAGTTTGACTGGGGTCAGAAGCGTCTTGGCTTTGCAACTGCCACCCAGGCTGTGCAGATGCCGGCGGCCCCTGTGCACGTGCCACTTTCTAAGCGGGAGCTGAGCTTTGAGGAGACCGTGGAGGCTGTGAACAAGGGCACGCGGAAGTGGGAGGCGCGCTTGGGCAAGGACGACCCGGTGGTCATCGATGACTACATGAACGCCCAGTACTATGGCGAGATCGGTGTGGGCACGCCGGCCCAGAAGGAGATGGTGATCTTTGACACTGGCTCTTCCAATTTGTGGGTGCCGAACACGCGGCCCTTCCTGACGAGCCACAACATCTATGATCATTCCAAGTCGTCCACCTACAAGAAGAATGGCACCACCTTCGCCATCCAATACGGCTCCGGGCCGGTGTCCGGCGTGTTTTCCGCAGACACCGTGACCATCGGCGACCTGCAGCTGAAGGACTACACTTTCGCAGAGGTGGACAAGACTTCTGGTCTGGGCCTGGGCTACCGGCTGGGCAAGTTCGACGGCATTCTGGGCCTGGGTTGGGACTCCATCTCGGTGGGTGGCGTGCCTACGCCCATGAACGCCTTGGTCAAGTCCGGCCAGCTGCCGGAACCCGTGTTCGCCTTCTACCTGGGCAACAACCAGCCAGGCGAGCTGGTCTTTGGCGGCGTCGACCCCAAGCACTACACGGGCGACTTCTCCTTCGTGCCTCTTAGCTCGGAGTCTTACTGGGAGATCAAGTTGGATGGAGTCAAGCTGGGGTCTGACTCCGTTTCCAGCACCAAGAGCGCCATTGTCGACTCTGGCACCTCGCTCTTGGCGGGCCCCAAGTCGGAGATCGCGGCCATTGCGACCAAGCTGGGGGCGAAGTCCATCCTGGGCAAGGACGGGCGAGCGCGCCCGCAAAAGGTTGATGCACTTTTGCCCTTTTTCAAGTCTCAAACGTGACAAGAACTGACATGTGAATGGTTTGAACATGTTTGATTGGGAGGCACGGCGGAGCTGAGCCGTCGCCATAATTCGGTCATTAGTTGTCAACATTCGGGCGTTGAGGCCATCCATGTTGTCCCGCTGTTGATGCTTGCCATTCACAGGAGTACGTGGTGGACTGCAGTGCCAAGCTGCCTGATCTCACCTTCACCTTGGGCGGTAAGGACTTTACCCTGAAGCAGGCAGATTTGATCCTGCAGGCGTCGGGCTCCCAGTGCATTCTGGCACTCACGGGCTTGGACGTGCCACCTCCCCGTGGTCCTTTGTGGATCCTGGGCGACGTGTTCATGCGCAAGTACTACGTGCAGTTTGACTGGGGTCAGAAGCGTCTTGGCTTTGCAACTGCCGCCCAGGCTGTGCAGATGCCGGCGGCCCCTGTGCACGTGCCACTTTCCAAGCGGGAGCTGAGCTTTGAGGAGACCGTGGAGGCTGTGAACAAGGGCATGCAGAAGTGGGAGGCGCGCTTGGGCAAGGATGACCCGGTGGTCATCGATGACTATATGAACGCCCAGTACTATGGCGAGATCGGTGTGGGCACGCCGGCCCAGAAGGAGATGGTGATCTTTGACACTGGCTCTTCCAATTTGTGGGTGCCGAACACGCGGCCCTTCCTGACGAGCCACAACATCTATGATCATTCCAAGTCGTCCAGCTACAAGAAGAATGGCACCACCTTCGCCATCCAATATGGCTCTGGGCCGGTGTCCGGCGTGTTCTCCGCAGACACCGTGACCATCGGCGACCTGCAGCTGAAGGACTACACTTTCGCAGAGGTGGACAAGACTTCTGGTCTGGGCCTGGGCTACCGGCTGGGCAAGTTCGACGGCATTCTGGGCCTGGGTTGGGACTCCATCTCGGTGGGTGGCGTGCCTACGCCCATGAACGCCTTGGTCAAGTCCGGCCAGCTGCCGGAACCCGTGTTTGCCTTCTACCTGGGCAACAACCAGCCAGGCGAGCTGGTCTTTGGCGGCGTTGACCCCAAGCACTACACAGGCGACTTCTCCTTCGTGCCTCTCAGCTCGGAGTCTTACTGGGAGATCAAGTTGGATGGAGTCAAGCTGGGGTCTGACTCCGTTTCCAGCACCAAGAGCGCCATTGTGGACTCTGGCACCTCTCTTTTGGCGGGCCCCAAGTCGGAGATCGCGGCCATTGCGACCAAGCTGGGGGCGAAGTCCATCCTGGGCAAGGACGGGTGAACGCGAAAGGTTGATGCACGCTGACTTTCGATCATGGTCACAGGGAGTCAACTAGGAGTGTTCGATGACATTTTGCGCATGTGCCATTGCTTTAGGCATTGTTGCCACACAGCTTTGCTAGCCAGTCTTCAACAGTGTTGGGGAATGTAGTTTGTCTTGTTCCAACACGGTCATTGATGTTGCACCAGTTTTCTTGTTTGGCGCATGCATAACTGCCCCCAGACAAACAAGACCATTAATCAAAATCGAGAGTGATTCATTCTACGAGTTGTTCCAACCCAGCAAAGCGTTGAGAGATGTTGACCTGGACCTCAGAGTGCTGCATGATGCGTTTACAATTTCAATATTTCCGTCCGGCGTGGTGCAGGAGTACGTGGTGGACTGCAGTGCCAAGCTGCCTGATCTCACCTTCACCTTGGGCGGCAAGGACTTTACCCTGAAGCAGGCAGATTTGATCCTGCAGGCGTCGGGCTCCCAGTGCATTCTGGCACTCACGGGCTTGGACGTGCCGCCGCCCCGCGGTCCTTTGTGGATCCTGGGCGACGTGTTCATGCGCAAGTACTACGTGCAGTTTGACTGGGGTCAGAAGCGTCTTGGCTTTGCCAATGCAGCGGCCAAGTGGGAGGTGGCATCTGCGATTGTTATCTGAGTGCTCGAATTAAAAAGCGAGCATTCTACAGTAGCAGGCTTTGTCTTAGGCCAGTTTCTTCCACTGCCTTTCTGAACAGATGCCAGGCACTGTCAGCCTCTGCCAGGATGCTGGGTCACGTTTGTTTGTTCATTCGCACACTCATCGCAAAGTCGTGGTTCGCTGCTTTTCTGGGAATCACGGCTCTGCATTTGGCGGGCTTCCTTTTGTAAATACCTTTGAAACTTTGACCACTCGATCGAGCTGTGCGTGGTCTCAGGCATTGGACTTAACCCAACATATCACACAACTCCTTTGGCACTGCTTGAGATCCGGCGTTTGGCCCACAGGCGGTCTGACATGGGCAAATGCGCGCAGTGCTAGGCTGCAGCTTGAGCAAAAAGTGCTCTTGGCGAGAGACGCTCGATATATATTATGCTCGTTGCGCGCGACACGTCAATTTAAAGATAAATGAGCACAATACATGCGAACCCGAGTTCCGCCCCAACTGTCTGGTAATGTTGGTATCTGTGTAAGGCAGAACCGTACAGACAGATGTTAGGGTACATGTGAACGACCCTTTGACCTGTTAATTGTTCGCTTTTTCAAGGTAACAGGCGCCTGCATAAGATGGAGCCCAACACTATCATTGAGGAATCTCCTTTTGGTGCACCACCCTTTTTTGGGGTTGCACGTCACATTTGCAGTAACTCTGTGTTCCCATGTCCCCTGAGTTTTGCCAGTGCACCTGCGCCTGGAACATATGACACACTTTGGGAGTGTAAGCAGGTGCCAGTTCTCTTTTTGTTTGCGCCCTTTGAAAGCAGGAGGGAGAGGGGCTCTCTTCACGGGGAAAAAAACAACGGCGGGGATTTCTTCGGGAGGCGTGCAGGTTTGATATGAGCTGTTTCATTGCGTGGGCCGGGAGGACCGGAGCTTTGCCGAGTTTTGCGGAAGGCTCACGGAAGCCTCCCGAAGGGCGGCGCAGTGTCTGCAGGGTGCCCGTGGGTCCATGGAGCCCCAAGCCGGCACGCAGCACTGACAGGCGGAGCGTGACTTTCCTTGCTTCATCGCTCACTGCGCCATGGCTTGCGGAAGCAAAACTTTGTAACAGATGCGCCGGCGGAAAGTGTGCGGAAGCAAGCGATGCAACACATGGCGCGGAAAGGTCCGCGAATCAAGTTTAAGGGGAATGAAGAACCAATGCGCACCTTTTCACAGTGACCCTAGTCACTGGGAGAATGGATCACGTCTGAGCTCCACCCCTCTCTCTCTCTCGGCAGGTGCCTGGATGTCCTTCTCGATCAGTTTGCTGGAACACAGATGTGCGTGCGGGTGTTTGTGTTTGTTTTGAGGCTCGGTACCCTTTTGGGATGGTTGTCAGGGAGATAACAGGCAACCCACCCTTTGTTGGGCCCCCTATTTCCAGACAAACCAGGCATGTCCTCAGGGTTCAGTTTCATGAGGTAGTTGTTTGCAAGCGACCGGCATTTTTTTGCTGAAACGCGAAAGGAGACGCTGGGGATGGGCCCACCCAAAAACTGGCAAAGCCGATCAACGCTGCTAGCTTTCCCAGAAGCACGACAAGATGGGTCTCTCTCTCTCTCTCTTTTTCGGGGCGTGCCCTTTTTGAAGTTGGTTTGTTTGGGGGGTGCCGTTTTTGGAGTTGGTTTGTTTGGGGGTGCCCCTTGTGGGGTTGGTTCAAACGGGAATTGGGAACACCGCAAATTTGGCGGTTCCCCTATTAAGGTCCCCTATGTTGAGACAAACCCAGGTAAAATCAAGTTTTAAGCACGCGCAGTTACACCCCTTCAAGCGTGTGCATGGTGACAGTAGGATCCAAGCCCCCCCCCCCGCGGGCAGTCAGGTCAGCAACTCACTACGCCAAATTTCTGGGCACTCAAGCATTTCAGTTTTTGGGCGGACATTGAATCTCTATCAACTATACATGTGCGTATGTTGTTCGTGCAGCTTGGCTTGGCAACAGGAAGCCCCCTTCCTATCCCTGCGGCAGGTCCGCAGATTTTGGCCATGGCTTTGAGTCTTCGAAGGATCTTGGTCGCCGCGTCCAGCGTGGCGGCAGCTGCAAATGTTTTCAGCGTGCCACTTTCCAAGCGGGAGCTGAGCTTTGAGGAGACCGTGGAGGCTGTGAACAAGGGCATGCAGAAGTGGGAGGCGCGCTTGGGCAAGGATGACCCGGTGGTCATCGATGACTATATGAACGCCCAGTACTATGGCGAGATCGGTGTGGGCACGCCGGCCCAGAAGGAGATGGTGATCTTTGACACTGGCTCTTCCAATTTGTGGGTGCCGAACACGCGGCCCTTCCTGACGAGCCACAACATCTATGATCATTCCAAGTCGTCCACCTACAAGAAGAATGGCACCACCTTCGCCATCCAATACGGCTCCGGGCCGGTGTCCGGCGTGTTTTCCGCAGACACCGTGACCATCGGCGACCTGCAGCTGAAGGACTACACTTTCGCAGAGGTGGACAAGACTTCTGGTCTGGGCCTGGGCTACCGGCTGGGCAAGTTCGACGGCATTCTGGGCCTGGGTTGGGACTCCATCTCGGTGGGTGGCGTGCCTACGCCCATGAACGCCTTGGTCAAGTCCGGCCAGCTGCCGGAACCCGTGTTCGCCTTCTACCTGGGCAACAACCAGCCAGGCGAGCTGGTCTTTGGCGGCGTCGACCCCAAGCACTACACGGGCGACTTCTCCTTCGTGCCTCTTAGCTCGGAGTCTTACTGGGAGATCAAGTTGGATGGAGTCAAGCTGGGGTCTGACTCCGTTTCCAGCACCAAGAGCGCCATTGTCGACTCTGGCACCTCGCTCTTGGCGGGCCCCAAGTCGGAGATCGCGGCCATTGCGACCAAGCTGGGGGCGAAGTCCATCCTGGGCAAGGACGGGCGAGCGCGCCCGCAAAAGGTTGATGCACTTTTGCCCTTTTTCAAGTCTCAAACGTGACAAGAACTGACATGTGAATGGTTTGAACATGTTTGATTGGGAGGCACGGCGGAGCTGAGCCGTCGCCATAATTCGGTCATTAGTTGTCAACATTCGGGCGTTGAGGCCATCCATGTTGTCCCGCTGTTGATGCTTGCCATTCACAGGAGTACGTGGTGGACTGCAGTGCCAAGCTGCCTGATCTCACCTTCACCTTGGGCGGTAAGGACTTTACCCTGAAGCAGGCAGATTTGATCCTGCAGGCGTCGGGCTCCCAGTGCATTCTGGCACTCACGGGCTTGGACGTGCCACCTCCCCGTGGTCCTTTGTGGATCCTGGGCGACGTGTTCATGCGCAAGTACTACGTGCAGTTTGACTGGGGTCAGAAGCGTCTTGGCTTTGCAACTGCCGCCCAGGCTGTGCAGATGCCGGCGGCCCCTGTGCACGTGCCACTTTCCAAGCGGGAGCTGAGCTTTGAGGAGACCGTGGAGGCTGTGAACAAGGGCATGCAGAAGTGGGAGGCGCGCTTGGGCAAGGATGACCCGGTGGTCATCGATGACTATATGAACGCCCAGTACTATGGCGAGATCGGTGTGGGCACGCCGGCCCAGAAGGAGATGGTGATCTTTGACACTGGCTCTTCCAATTTGTGGGTGCCGAACACGCGGCCCTTCCTGACGAGCCACAACATCTATGATCACTCCAAGTCGTCCACCTACAAGAAGAATGGCACCACCTTCGCTATCCAATACGGCTCCGGGCCGGTGTCCGGCGTGTTCTCCGCAGACACCGTGACCATCGGCGACCTGCAGCTGAAGGACTACACTTTCGCAGAGGTGGACAAGACTTCTGGTCTGGGCCTGGGCTACCGGCTGGGCAAGTTCGACGGCATTCTGGGCCTGGGTTGGGACTCCATCTCGGTGGGTGGCGTGCCTACGCCCATGAACGCCTTGGTCAAGTCCGGCCAGCTGCCGGAACCCGTGTTTGCCTTCTACCTGGGCAACAACCAGCCAGGCGAGCTGGTCTTTGGTGGCGTCGACCCCAAGCACTACACGGGCGACTTTTCCTTTGTGCCTCTCAGCTCGGAGTCTTACTGGGAGATCAAGTTGGATGGAGTCAAGCTGGGGTCTGACTCCGTTTCCAGCACCAAGAGCGCCATTGTCGACTCTGGCACCTCTCTCTTGGCGGGCCCCAAGTCGGAGATCGCGGCCATTGCGACCAAGCTGGGGGCGAAGTCCATCCTGGGCAAGGACGGGTGAGCGCGGCCGTGAAAGATTGATGCACTTTTGCCCTTTTTCAAGTCTCAAACGTGACAAGAACTGACATGTGCACATGTTGATTGGGAGGTACGGCGGAGCTGAGCCGTCGCCATAATTCGAACATTAGTTGTCAACATGCGTGCGTTGAGGCCGTCAATGTTGTCCGGCTGTTGATGCTTGCCATGCAAAGGAGTACGTGGTGGACTGCAGTGCCAAGCTGCCTGATCTCACCTTCACCTTGGGCGGTAAGGACTTTACCCTGAAGCAGGCAGATTTGATCCTGCAGGCGTCGGGCTCCCAGTGCATTCTGGCACTCACGGGCTTGGACGTGCCACCTCCCCGTGGTCCTTTGTGGATCCTGGGCGACGTGTTCATGCGCAAGTACTACGTGCAGTTTGACTGGGGTCAGAAGCGTCTTGGCTTTGCAACTGCCGCCCAGGCTGTGCAGATGCCGGCGGCCCCTGTGCACGTGCCACTTTCCAAGCGGGAGCTGAGCTTTGAGGAGACCGTGGAGGCTGTGAACAAGGGCATGCAGAAGTGGGAGGCGCGCTTGGGCAAGGATGACCCGGTGGTCATCGATGACTATATGAACGCCCAGTACTATGGCGAGATCGGTGTGGGCACGCCGGCCCAGAAGGAGATGGTGATCTTTGACACTGGCTCTTCCAATTTGTGGGTGCCGAACACGCGGCCCTTCCTGACGAGCCACAACATCTATGATCATTCCAAGTCGTCCAGCTACAAGAAGAATGGCACCACCTTCGCCATTCAATACGGCTCCGGGCCGGTGTCCGGCGTGTTCTCCGCAGACACCGTGACCATCGGCGACCTGCAGCTGAAGGACTACACTTTCGCAGAGGTGGACAAGACTTCTGGTCTGGGCCTGGGCTACCGGCTGGGCAAGTTCGACGGCATTCTGGGCCTGGGTTGGGACTCCATCTCGGTGGGTGGCGTGCCTACGCCCATGAACGCCTTGGTCAAGTCCGGCCAGCTGCCGGAACCCGTGTTTGCCTTCTACCTGGGCAACAACCAGCCAGGCGAGCTGATCTTTGGTGGCGTCGACCCCAAGCACTACACGGGCGACTTCTCCTTTGTGCCTCTCAGCTCGGAGTCTTACTGGGAGATCAAGTTGGATGGAGTCAAGCTGGGGTCTGACTCCGTTTCCAGCACCAAGAGCGCCATTGTCGACTCTGGCACCTCGCTCTTGGCGGGCCCCAAGTCGGAGATCGCGGCCATTGCGACCAAGCTGGGGGCGAAGTCCATCCTGGGCAAGGACGGGCGAGCGCGGCCGCGAAAGGTTGATGCACTGTTGCCCTTTTTCAAGTCTCAAACGTGACAAGAACTGACATGTGCACATGTTGATTGGGAGGTACGGCGGAGCTGAGCCGTCGCCATAATTCGATCATTAGTTGTCAACATGCGTGCGTTGAGGCCATCCATGTTGTCCGGCTGTTGATGCTTGCAATTCACAGGAGTACGTGGTGGACTGCAGTGCCAAGCTGCCTGATCTCACCTTCACCTTGGGCGGTAAGGACTTTACCCTGAAGCAGGCAGATTTGATCCTGCAGGCGTCGGGCTCCCAGTGCATTCTGGCACTCACGGGCTTGGACGTGCCACCTCCCCGTGGTCCTTTGTGGATCCTGGGCGACGTGTTCATGCGCAAGTACTACGTGCAGTTTGACTGGGGTCAGAAGCGTCTTGGCTTTGCAACTGCCGCCCAGGCTGTGCAGATGCCGGCGGCCCCTGTGCACGTGCCACTTTCCAAGCGGGAGCTGAGCTTTGAGGAGACCGTGGAGGCTGTGAACAAGGGCACGCAGAAGTGGGAGGCGCGCTTGGGCAAGGACGACCCGGTGGTCATCGATGACTATATGAACGCCCAGTACTATGGCGAGATCGGTGTGGGCACGCCGGCCCAGAAGGAGATGGTGATCTTTGACACTGGCTCTTCCAATTTGTGGGTGCCGAACACGCGGCCCTTCCTGACGAGCCACAACATCTATGATCACTCCAAGTCGTCCACCTACAAGAAGAATGGCACCACCTTCGCTATCCAATACGGCTCCGGGCCGGTGTCCGGCGTGTTCTCCGCAGACACCGTGACCATCGGCGACCTGCAGCTGAAGGACTACACTTTCGCAGAGGTGGACAAGACTTCTGGTCTGGGCCTGGGCTACCGGCTGGGCAAGTTCGACGGCATTCTGGGCCTGGGTTGGGACTCCATCTCGGTGGGTGGCGTGCCTACGCCCATGAACGCCTTGGTCAAGTCCGGCCAGCTGCCGGAACCCGTGTTTGCCTTCTACCTGGGCAACAACCAGCCAGGCGAGCTGATCTTTGGTGGCGTCGACCCCAAGCACTACACGGGCGACTTCTCCTTCGTGCCTCTCAGCTCGGAGTCTTACTGGGAGATCAAGTTGGATGGAGTCAAGCTGGGGTCTGACTCCGTTTCCAGCACCAAGAGCGCCATTGTCGACTCTGGCACCTCTCTTTTGGCGGGCCCCAAGTCGGAGATCGCGGCCATTGCGACCAAGCTGGGGGCGAAGTCCATCCTGGGCAAGGACGGGCGAGCGCCGCGGATGGTTGATCTATGATGAGTCTTGATCATGGGGATTGGGCCAGATTGCCTGGTGCGTGTGCCATTGCCCTCGAACAAACAAGTTTAAGCATTTGTGCCGCACAGGTCCAATATGTATCTTCGAGGAGTGTTTTTGAAACGCGTGAAAGTGTTGAGACATGCTCTGAATCTAGAGGGCCTGCATGTAAGCATTCAACGGGTCAACAAGCCTTTGATTTGCAGTTGCCCTGGCAAGTCATTTGACTGGTTTGTGCTGATTTGAAGAAACGTGACTAAGACAAGCCCCCTTCAGCTGTTGATGCTTGCCATTCACAGGAGTACGTGGTGGACTGCAGTGCCAAGCTGCCTGATCTCACTTTCACCTTGGGCGGTAAGGACTTTACCCTGAAGCAGGCAGATTTGATCCTGCAGGCGTCGGGCTCCCAGTGCATTCTGGCACTCACGGGCTTGGACGTGCCACCTCCCCGTGGTCCTTTGTGGATCCTGGGCGACGTGTTCATGCGCAAGTACTACGTGCAGTTTGACTGGGGTCAGAAGCGTCTTGGCTTTGCCACAGCGGCGAAGTCGCTGGAGGCATCCGCGATTATTGTTTGATTTCTTCGGTCGCTCTAATCGTGCGCTTTCGAAGGAAAGTGCTGCGAAAGCGCTGCCTTTGAACAGGTGCTAAACACTCAAGGCCTCAATGCCTTTGCCAAGATGCCGGGTCGTGGTTTGTGTGTTTGCAGATTGGTTTTCAGGCGAGTGCTTGTGAAGAACTTCGATTGCGACCTGGCCCAGCATTTTCGCATCCCCTAGGGCAAGCTTTGTCTCCCTTAGTTTGTCATGCCTTTTCATGGTCTCACACTTGTTTCAAAGTGCGACCGAGCTGTATGTGGTCTCAGGCATCGTTGGCTTCCCTTTCAGAATGGCTCCCAAATCTTCGGTTGCTTCCAAGGGAATCGGAAAATTCGTATGGTTGCCCCCATACGACATACCCAGGCCCAGCAACCTTCCGAACTCAAAAATCTACACAAAGCAAGTGGCGAAGCCCATGAATCCTCCCAAAACATACCAATCGCGTTGCCTGTGACTCGGGTGCTTGGCCCGTAGCTCGGTCGAAATTGGAGAGGTGAGAGCCGCGGTGCTAGGCTGCAAAAAAGAGGCGCACGGAATATGATGTATGTATATATGAGTATATATATATATATATTATGTGTGTAGCTTGAGAGGTGTTCAGATATGTGTATATATATATATATGTACATATATTGTTTGCTATTGGGTTGGGTCTTTAGGCTTCAACATGTTGGTTGAAATCAGGGCTCTCCATTAAACCCACACAGACAAGGTAAACTTTTTGCAGAGGGGTCAACAGCAACCAAGATATATGCATGTTTCTCTCTGCCTCTTTGATGTTGAACTCACCTGGGATGAAACCAGCGTGACGGTCGCTTCTTCAAGGATTCTTGGTTCAGGACGTGCATATGCAGACATACAGTACGTACATACCCACATTTGTTGATGTATACACGCATGTATCGACACTAGGGCAACTCAAACTGTTTGGTATCACTCAGCTACCCAACATTGCTCCTAGTTTTGAACGCGAAGGGCCGCTTGGTTGCTTAATGCTTCCAGCTTGCGTTAGGAGCATGCATGATTTCGATTTTGCAGATCGGAAGGCTGAACCAGAGCATCGGATGTTATTAGGGTGTTGCCATGTTTCGGGTTGTAATGCCGTTGCCAGACTCAACTAGCCTGTTTGCTTTTTGTCCTTTTGAGTTTCCTTTGCTTTCCCTTTTCACCCGCAAACAGCTAACTTTTTGCAGGGGCCTAAGCCTTACCAAGATGCTGCGTTGTATCTTGCCAGTATGTCTAAACCAAGATGTGCGGACACCGCAAGGTACTCTCCTGCAGATTCGAGTAAAGAAGCCAAAAGACAGAACTTTAAAGAGTAAAGAAGAATGCATTCTTTTCATGGTGGTTGAAACATTTCCCATTTTTGCTTGTTGCGGTTTAGTGGTTGAAATCCAAATCCACTTAGCTGCTAAAAATAAAATTTGTTGCTTCCCTTCCAACGTCAACCAAGTTTTGGCCACCCCCTTTTCGTGGGTTCCATGTAATTAGTACGGAAGTACTTGATTCATTTTTGTTTGCGAGGTCGGGTAAAGTGGGCAAACATCCATGAAGATCTACCCATCCCATAGATTTACTTTCAGGTCTTCGGGATGTACCGAAGCTGCCTCTGGCCTCTTTTTGGAACCAATCACTTGGCAGTCCGTTCCCCGCATTTGTCCTTCAACATCCCACCAAAAGGTACATCCCTGCAACGGGCACAATATATTTATATTCATTAAAGAGCAGCGAAACGCAGGGAACAAAGAACCACGGTGTCTGGGTCGTCTGCAGAGTTGATACTGGCCAAAGTTACGTTCTTTTTGGAAACCGGTGGGGTGGCCCTAGGCACTCAGAAGACCAACTCCTTGGCGGAAGCCGTGGACTGGCACATCACCCTCACGCAGCTGAAGGCTTCCGACTGTCATGAAAGAAGTGGTTCAACCAGCGAATCGTCCGGTCGTCCGGTTGAACTTAGGCGTATTTCGTGATTTTGAGCTGGTTCGGTTGGGTTTCCACCGGTTCAACTGAGGTGTTTCGTGGTTTTGGGTTGGTCTAGTGGTTGGTTTTCCGTATTTCGCCCACAAGTTAAACTGT